CTTAAACTATGTTTAGTTAAACATACACGGAAAGAAAAATTTCTTGACTGGAGAACAAAATTATTGGCTTAAGAAAATTTTCAGGTGCCTGAAGGAAGACCGAAGTTGTGTTGGCCGAAGTAAAAATTTTTCTTTAAATTCTATTCTTGGTAGGTCATTTTTTCTTCATTCAAATTATCATAAATACTTGATACAATAAATTTTTATATTTGATCAAGATTTTTAGATACTTTAGGGAAGCAGCGCCACCTACTTCAGCTGAGAAAAAAATTTTCTCTTGAATATTTGATACCCATTTTATATTATTTTAGCGTGCAATTATACAAATTGAATGAAAAAAAATAATTCAATATTATTTGATCCTTATAATGGACAAATATACCCTAGACTGGACTCGAACCCTGATCGATCCGCGCGATCGATAGAGAGTTGTACCATTTAGCTATTACAACAATCCCAATTGCAATTAAATCTGTTTAAATATCAATAATATATGATTTTTACGGCATCTTAAGACGGCGCAATTGTCAGATTGTCTTATCATAAAATAAAAGCTCCCAATTATTTAAATTTTAAATAATAAACACCAAAATATTCTAATCAAAGAAAAAAAATTAATACTTTTCCAAAAAAAAAGTTTTAATAGAAAAGTTCCGGGTTCGATACAAAAATAAATGATCTCGCTACCTAAAATTATAAACAAACATCGAGAACTTTAAAACGGAAACGATGAAACTAAACGATGTTACACCGTCTTGACGTTCTATATAAATAATACATATGTAAATACAAGTATATAAAGACTTAGTGTCTTTTATCAGTCAACCGAATCGTGAATTAGCTCAACACTTGGTATATATATTACCAGAATCACGTACTAGTTAAATGTCGTCGTTGTTCTGAGTAATTTGTCCATCGTTTGTCGTCACGTTTAAATTCGTATTTCATCATAACATGACATAAATATACATGTATATATATATAATTGTGCAGACTAATGTTATATTTACGGTGTGGTTGACCGATAGATTTCATGTCTACGACCCGCGTTTGATCTCAAATCCATTTTATCAAAATACATAATATTTGTTAAATGGCACAAGCTAATATTACGTCAATTCACCAAATAATATAATATTCACCAAATAATTTTTATTTTAATTCATAATAATGATAATGAATCAGAAGTTATTTAAGTAATTATAGTAGTAATAATATTATTTTAAATTGCTGAGCTGAGTGCAAGTGTCATAAATGACGCAAAGATATTGACGTCAGACCAAACTGTTTTGAGTTGAGTAATTTAATTGTAAAGTTGTCAGTTTTCCGGTTTAAATTTTAAATGATGTTTGAAATGTTTATGGATGTCTGGTGTTTTTTTTTTTTTTTTTTTATTTATTAATGGATCGTAACTCATGTTGAGGGATAATGTTTATTTTTTTAAGCTTTAATTCAACGTTAGGCGGTGGAAAAATAAACAGGCAAATAAAATGCCGTAATTCTTTTATAAATTATTGATTCAAGTGAAATAGTCGGCAATTATTTTTTGCCTTGAATTCTGACTCCCTAGCTCGAAAGACCTGTACCTTCGGTCGGTAATTATTTTCACGTTATTCAAGATAATATTATCTTCAGTGGGTAAAGAAATTTTGAAGAACAGTTCAAATTTTTTTAGAGATTTCAGAAATTTAATAATAAACTTTTTTTACGGATTCGTTAAAAATATAAAGATCATAAAAAATATTTTAATCATAATGTAAGATTTTTAATTTGTGTGTTAAAAAATGATGAATAAAAATAAGTATTGATTTTTTGATCAAATTATATCGAAAAAATTGTGATATATATTTCATATATACATATAATATACAATATAGATTTTAAAGATGTAAGCTTATCCCGATGTTACACTCATTAAGAGCTTTTATTTGAGTACCCACTTGCATTTTTGATATATTTTTCATATATACATATATATAAATATATGAGACATATGAAAAATTGATGTGGGTACTCAAATGAAAGGTTTCAACGAGTGTAATGTCAGAATGAGCTTATATCTTTAAAAATGTCAATAATTAAGAAATTAGGTATAAACTCATAATAACGCTACGCTCATCAAGAGCTTTCATTTGAGTACCCACTTGCATTTTTGATATATTTTTCATATATACATATATATATATAATATATATAAATATATGAAATATATGAAAAATTGATGTGGGTACTCAAATGGAAGGTCTTAATGAGTGTAATGTCAGAATGAGCTTATATCTTCAAAAATGTCAATAGTTCACAAGATACAAGGTCATTTCTTAATTATGTATCTAGAGATAGAGCATTTTCGAATACAGCCTAAATCCTTATCATCATAAATTAACTATTTGTGAGAATGATATGAAACCATAAAAGAGCACAACTCCAGGTCAAGACTTTTCCAACGATATCAAATTTAACTATAAAAACCCATTTTATAATATAAATACACTAGCTACAAAATTTTGCTTATTCTCGTAATAATAGAGGGAGAATATTTGATGAAATTACGATAGTAAGTCGTAAAATTTCGTAAATAAATAGTGAATTTTCTTCTAAAATATTTGAAAATTATTAATAATAAAATTATATTCCATTACAATAGTTGTATCGTAAATTTTCCCAGAAATTTTTTTTTTAAATGTAAAACTTAAAACAAGTTACAAAAATAATATTTAAAAAGCTAACTCATATTTATATTTCCCAGAGAAAGTAGAACAAAATGAGGCGATGAATTTGGTACGAGGTTTTTTAAAAGTAATTGCAAAATCTTTTTGGCTTTGACCACAACATTTTGCAGAAATTAAAATACACATTCCTCTGATTTATTACCTAATCTATTAAAAAATTCAAAACCTATAAAATATTATCAATAATAATAAATAATAATATTAAATGATATATATATATATATATATATATATATATA